CTACTATATAAAGAAAAAGGCCAAAAGTAAAATCCTCCCATATCTGTACTTGTACCCTTTATTCTATTGTTGCTGATATCAGGAACAAGCCTGCAAATATAATTTTTGGTCAATTACTTATGGCTATCTCTTCTATGTGGCCAAAGAGTTGCAACGGAAAAAAGTAGCTTAAAGAAAGCTTCATGCCTTTGTTAATCTTCAACCTATCCCCAAATCAATAGCTCTTTACTGTGATGCCACAGTATTCGATGAAATTATTCCCTCATCATAGACAGTAGTTCATCTAGCAGTATAGTTTTATTCCACCTTCTTGGTAAACTTGGCATTAAGGTTGAAAGGCTTTCTACAGTTAATATAATTAATGTTTATAGCCAAAGTAAACAGGCCATAGGAGAAATTTCAAATTTCTTCTTCATAGTAGAATGAGTCAAAGTTTCTATTGATGTAATAGTTACCAATGCCCCCTCCTATCAGGCTATAGTAGGCAATAATTGGCTCTCGAAGGTTAATGCCAGGATCGATTACACTACTTCTAAGATGATATTTTCTTGGAAGGATAAGAAGGTCATAGTTCTTGTTGAGTTTCAGAGGTTACAGCACACTCCTCTGCAGAAAGAATGAGTACCAGAAATTGTAAAGCATGAAGAAAGGAAGCTGAATCTTCTGAATCAGAGAAAGAGTCTAGTAGCAAATATGAAGAGGATGAGTTGGACGACCAGCTCTTTGGGTATTCTGAGTTGGAGGAGGATGATGTCAAAGTAATCTTGATAGAATCTACCTATTGTTCATGTACTATACTCTTTCGATTCCTTTGATAATGCCAGATCTGATTTCTATTACAACTCTGATGAGGAATCTATTTCATCTCAATACATTAAACCCAGGGATTTAGTAGAAGCTTGGTGGAATTAAATAGTGATGATGACTATCTTGAAGTTGAACAAGATAATGTTTCTGATTTTGACAACGGCGACCTTGAGAGTGCATATTATTTCTTTTCTGACAAATTGGCGTTCTTCTCTTTGGAGTTGGATATTGGAAGGATGAATGAGGATGAAAAAAATCATATAAATGAATTGCTTTTGAATAATGACGACTTGTTCATATATGGCTTACAAGACTTGGGTCAGACAAATTTGGTTACTTATCACATCTATACTAAAGATGCTGCTTCTATCAAACAAAAAGCATATTGAACTTCTCTAGAAGAAAAGAGATTCCTAAAGGAAGAAATAGATCAAATGCTTGAGGACAACATCATTCGCCCTTCTAAAAGTCCTTGAGCTTCTCTTATCATTTTAGTCAAACAGAAAAACAAGACTCATTTCTGTATTAACTACTATAAACTCAATTCTGTCACCTGAAAAGATAGTTATCATCTTTCTCATATAGACAATCTCCTTAACACTCTTAGCAATTCCTTATAGTACACTTCATTAGATCTTGCAAGCAGGTACTGGCAGATTGAGATAGACTCTCAAGATCATGAAAGAATCTACCTATTGTTCATGTACTATACTCTTTCGATTCCTTTGATAATGCCAGATCTGATTTCTATTACAACTCTGATGAGGAATCTATTTCATCTCAATACATTAAACCCAGGGATTTAGTAGAAGCTTGGTGGAATTAAATAGTGATGATGACTATCTTGAAGTTGAACAAGATAATGTTTCTGATTTTGACAACGGCGACCTTGAGAGTGCATATTATTTCTTTTCTGACAAATTGGCGTTCTTCTCTTTGGAGTTGGATATTGGAAGGATGAATGAGGATGAAAAAAATCATATAAATGAATTGCTTTTGAATAATGACGACTTGTTCATATATGGCTTACAAGACTTGGGTCAGACAAATTTGGTTACTTATCACATCTATACTAAAGATGCTGCTTCTATCAAACAAAAAGCATATTGAACTTCTCTAGAAGAAAAGAGATTCCTAAAGGAAGAAATAGATCAAATGCTTGAGGACAACATCATTCGCCCTTCTAAAAGTCCTTGAGCTTCTCTTATCATTTTAGTCAAACAGAAAAACAAGACTCATTTCTGTATTAACTACTATAAACTCAATTCTGTCACCTGAAAAGATAGTTATCATCTTTCTCATATAGACAATCTCCTTAACACTCTTAGCAATTCCTTATAGTACACTTCATTAGATCTTGCAAGCAGGTACTGGCAGATTGAGATAGACTCTCAAGATCATGAAAAAACTGCCTTCATCTCTCAGTATAGCATTTATGAATTTAATATTATACCTTTTGGGCTTACTAATACTTTAGCTACATTTCAATATCTCATAGATCAGATCTTTCACGACATCAATAGGATTTTTGTTATCATGTATTTAGACAACATCATATTTTTTTTTCTTCATTTGACACCCACCTTACCTATTTATTAGAAGTTTTTTTTCGATTACGAAATACAGGGTTATGTCTAAACCCAAAAAAATATTACTTTGCAAAAAGGGAGCTTAGATTTTTAGGCTATGTTGTTAGTCTTGATGGTATCTCTACAGACCATCAAAAATTGGAAGCTGTTTGTGGTTTTCCTGTACTCACCACCCTGTAATAGTTGTGAGAATTTCTGGGCCTGGCATCTTACTATCGATGGTTCATTCAAGACTTTTCAAAGATTGTTGTCTACTTCAACTCTTACTCAAAAAAGACACCAGATATCTGTAGTCATCTAAACAAGAAGTGGTCTTTCAAAGCTTGAAAAGGAAACTCATTATAGCTCCCATTCTTGTCTACCCAAACTTTTCGCGAGAGTTCTTGCTTTTTACAGATACTTCAGGAATTGCTCTTGGTGCAATCCTCTCCCAAAAAGATCCACAGAGGAGAGAAAGGGTTATTTCTTATGCTAGTTACAGTATATCAAAAGTTGAACAGAACTATTTAGTAACAGAACAAGAGTGTCTGGCCATCGTATAGTCTGTCTCCTACTTTTGACAATATCTTCACAGCACCCATTTCATTGTTGTAACTGATCATTCTGCACTCAGGTTCTTGCTCCAGCACAAACTGCATCATAGATATCTTGCTCGCTGGATTTTGGCACTGCAGAAGTATATCTTCTATCATCTACTATGCTGAAAGATCCCATTCTAATGCTAATAGTTTATCTTGTATTGCTAAATCCTCCA